CATGCTCTGCCACAGCTCCGGGACCCCCACTCGGGAGTTTCCCCTTCCTCCCTGCAGGCCCCCCAGGTATGCACCCCCCCATGTTCCCTGCCATGGGAGACATCCATACACCTGCCTGCTGGGGGTGAGGGGTGGGGGGGTGGTCAGCATTTCCCCACCCACCAGGACTGAAAACTGGCTGGTGGGATAGGTCAAGCTTGGGCAAGGGGCTCCCTGAGGTCAGGGCCTCAGTTTATTCCTCCTACCCCCCAGATTATGGCCTGGGAGACCCACCTCCGCCCCCTGGCCTGCTGCAGCCCCCCACCCTGGCCCCCTGGCAGCATTCCAGGGGTGATGGGCCCCCAGCCGCCCCTCCCCAGCCCAGGTAAGTGCCCCAATTGCCCCTCCTCTCTCCCCTCCGTATTTCGGGTCCTTGTGGGGGTCCCTCCAAGTCTTCCGAAGCCCCTAGCCACTGCTGACCTCTGGTGGCCACTCCTGGTTCTACACTCAGCCCCTCCCGTCTGTTCTTGGTGGGATGGGTGGCTATTTTGGAAACCCCAAGAGGGACCGCCACCCCCTCCTTTCCCAAGGTCCTCCCGCCGAGCCTTTGCCCAAGCCATACCACCTCCCTGGCTTTCCTCCCTTCCTCGCTGAGCTCACAACCCTCCTTCTCTCTCTCTCTCTCTCTCCCTGCAGTGGGAGCCGAAGCCTGAGTGAGGAGGGTCCCCCCGCCCGTGGCGCCTCCCCACCAACCCCCCCAGTCAGCATCAAGTCCGAGCGCCTCTCGCCAGCCCCTGGGGGCCCCGGCGACTTTCCCAAGACTTTCCCCTATCCCTTGCTCCTGTCCCGGCCCCTGGCAGAGCCCCTACGGCCCGGACCCCCCCTACGCCGTCTGCCCACTGCCGACGGCTGGGCTCGGTAGTGGACCCAGGGGTGGCATGGGTCCTTCCTCCCACACGGGGCGAGGGCACGTGGGGTCCCAGTCTCCCTCCCCGCGTCATTAGAGAAGAGCCAGCAGTTAACGTCCCTCCAAAGTGAGGGCCTGGAGTTCAGATCCACAGTCGGGGGCGCTCCTTTCTCCCTTTCCTGTGTGTGTATCCACCAATAAAACACGCGTGGTGTCCATGGACGAAACTATCTGTCGCTACTCAGAACCACCACCACGTCCGGGTCCTCCCATCTCTTCCCAAGAGGTCTGTCTTGCCTTGTCTCGGTTTGGAGTACCCCCTTCAGAATCCTATCCTGAGACTAGGATTCAAAGGTGGGTATCCCGGAGGAAGGCAGTTGAGGGGTAGGGCCGTGCCGGGGAAGAGCCCTGCAGGGGGCAGCAGCGAGCAGGTGACTTCGTGGGCAGCGCTGCCCACCTCCTCCGCCCCTGGGGGCCCTGGGGGAGCGCTTAGAGCACGCACCTAAAGTGCTTCCGCTTCAGGGGTGAGAGGCTGGGCTACCACCTCCTGAGGATGTCAAGTCGTGTGCTCAAGCGGAAGTTTCCAGGCTGGGTTGCAATCACTTGCAGCAAGAAGCAGCTGGGAATCTTGAACATTGTTCAATGGGGCAGTCACTACACCATTCATCTTTTAATGGGCATATCCCTTGATCCCTTGACCCAGCAATTTCGATCCACCAGAGGCAGGAGGGAGCCGGCCGTTTATCTACCCACTTGTGGGGGGGCACAAACTCCCCCCACTCTGGCGGGCATCCTGAGGGCAGACTTGGGTGTCCAGGAGCCAGAGGGAGCTCCATCTGCTTCTCCTGTCCAGTCACTCCCCAAGGTGGTCTTGTGGGATGTTTATAACACTCAGATCTGATCCCTGACCTTTCCGAGCTCCTCAGCTGCCCCCACCCCTCTACTCCGTCTGCCCCTGTCACCCACCATGTCCCCTGCCGTGAGCCCCCCTAGAAATACTTCCAGTCCCAAGCCTTGGTGGGGTGAAATGGAGGCAAGGCTGGAGAGGGTCCCTTCTTAGCCTCTGGATCTCACCCTCATAGGGGACAAGAAGCCAGGCCAGTCCCTGAAGTTAGTGCCCACAGGTTAAGCACCCCGTGTCGGGTTCTTAAAAATGTCGGCTGCTTTCAAAGATTGGGAGGTGGGGGCACGGGCGGGTGGGTATGGTTCTGCATGCCCATCCTGGGAGACTGCACTTTCGCCATCATCCATTAGGTGGTGCCCAATAGTGTGCTTTGGATTCTGCACTCCCCGCTCAAAAGTAAAAAACAAAATAGAAATAGTAATTAAAAAAAATAAAATCCCTCTTGGCTTTCAGGGGCTTCACCCCATGTTTTCAGGGTCTGAGCCTGGGGACTCAGAAAGGTCTGTGTCACATGTTGCCTGCATATGTATAATTACACTGTAGAGCTTGGGGTGTCCCCCAGGACATGAAAGGTCAGTGAGCAGGCTACTGGCTTCTGGAAACACCTTTGGTCCAAACTCTAGCTCTGCACCTGCTGACTCTGTGGGGGTGTGTGTGGGGGGGTGGAGCAGCGAGGGTTGCGTGAAAGTGTCCTCTACCAGCCTTTCTAAGGACACCGTGGTGATGTCAGTCAGGGCTATTGTCACCATCAGAGGGACCCTGAGTCTCCCAGGAGCTCAGTCACTGGTTGAAAGCATCATGGGAATTGTGGCACAAATGCAGTCATGGAAGTCTGTGTGTATGATGTATACATATACAGGGGCCTGGAGGTATGAGAGATGCATTTTCAAGAGCATCATACACACAGAGATGGTGGAATGGTCAATGTGGAGAGAGAGTGTGGACTTCAGTGTAGTCAGAGAGGCTGGGCTGTTAATGCAGACAGACATAGGGAGTGTCTTGAGGATCAGGGACCATGGAGTACCCAATGCAGGACAGAGAATGTGGATTCGTCCAGTGGAGAATGGAGAACAAGGAACGTCCAATGTGGAACAGACAACATGCACATCCAACGTAGAATAGAGAGTGAGGAGTGTCCATTTTAGAACAGAGGAGGGACATTGTCTGGCTAAGTGTTAAGCTGCTCTGGGGGAAAATAGACTGTGTGGGCTGAGGTGAGGTGTAGGGGTGGAAGCCAGAGATCGGGGAGCCGGGGACTGCAGGGGAGACATGATGGAAGTTGATTGGGTGGAGGTTGTGGGGTTGGTGAGACTGGCCACACTTGGAAGGTGGAACCATCATCAGGAGGGGCTGACAGATCAGGTATGGGCGAGAGAGGAGTCAAGGCCAACTCCAGAGCTTGTGGATAACCTGGAGGATGAGGAGTTGCGGGAGGGAAGATGAGGACCTCCTGAGATGAGGACGTGTGAATTTCCTGTGGTTCACCACATGGGCGCCGCTGTGACACCTAAACTCATAAGCCCTGGGTGCAGGAGGAGAGGTCAAGGTGTGCCGTAGAGATTTGGGCCTCCCAGAGCCTCAGTGTCTTCATCAGTGAAATGGAGACGATTGTCCTGCCACCTCAGCATACTGGAAGGAGCACATGAATCAACCACGCCACCTCCCCAGCCTGGTATGCAGTGGACCTGCAGCAAATGCCTCTCCTTTCTTTCTCGGTCCCTTTCTCTGACACCCTCCCCAAATCCCAGCTTCCCTGGATCCCTCATGGATTCATAGATTGGCTCATGGCCCCCATGTTGGTCCAGGGAAATCCCAGTGACCCTCACCACCACTGTCACCCATCCTCTCTCCAGGGGACACTCTGAGTCCAGAAGACCAAGCCACAGTGAATCCCCTGCAAACAGACATCCACATGTGCTCATAAACAAAGACAAAAACACCCACAGAGACAAGGTAATCAACTATACAGGCCCCACTCACAGGCCCCATAAAAACCCTCAGACATCTGGGGTGCCTGGGTGGCTCAGTCAGTTAAGCGTCTGGGCTCAGGTCATGATCTCTGGGTCCTGGGATCAAGCGCCACACTGGGCTCCCTGCTCAGCGGGAAGTCGGCTTGTTCCTCTCCCTCTGCCCCTCCCCCCCAGCTCGGGCTCTCTCTCACTTGCTCTGTCTCACAAAAAAATAAATAAAATCTTTTTTTTAATAGATTTTTTTTAAAGATTTTATTTATTTATTTGAGAGAGAGAGAATGAGAGAGAGCACATGAGAGGGGGGAGGGGCAGAGGGAGAAGAAGACTCCCTGCTGAGCAGGGAGCCCGATGCGGGACTCGATCCAGGGACTCCAGGATCATGACCTGAGCCGAAAGCAGTCGCTTAACCAACTGAGCCACCCAGGCGCCCTAAAATCTTTTTTTTTTAATTAAAAAAAACCTCAGACATCTAATCACACCCACATATATGTCCACATTCAGGCAGACACACTTTATCCATAAAAATGCAGATGGCAAAACTTAGGTACCCATGCTAGAAGCCCTTTCCTCCAAGCCTCGAAACTCAAAACATCAGATTCTTGAGACTGACGTTTTTTTGTCCTTGATCTAGACATGCCTGAAGCTCACTATGCTTTTAAGAGTTTTTTGTCACAAAAATTCCCCCTTTTTTTGCTAGAGCCCATTTGAGTTAGTGTATGTGTGTGTGTGTGTGTGTGTGTGTTCAGAGTCCTGGCTGATAGAGATGAATAAGGCTTTGCTAAACGAAAAAGATTGAGAAAGGAGGTATTCCAAGATGAAAGATAGCATTTACAGGGGCCTGGAGGTATGAGAGAGCATGGCCAGTGGCAAGCTGTATTACAGTGTGTACGATAGTGCTGGCGGCCGACTGAAGTCAGGTAGAGGTGTAAGAATTCAGTCTGAGCACTTGGGAGTCTAGTCAGTGGGAGCCACCGAATGTTCTTGATCAGGGGGAGTTCCACACTCAGAACTCTCCAGCGGGAGGCAGTGCGTGGATAAATGAATGTATTTGCCTCAGACCTGCGCAATAGGTGCGGATGCTAGGAGACTGAATCTCAGAGAGGACAGCCACAGGGTACCAGAGAGTCCTGACTCAACCGACATCTGAGCTTGCCGAGCGTCTTCGAACTACAACTTCCGGCATGCAACGCGAGCGACCTCGTGTCCCTCGTGGTGTGCTCCAGCTGCAAGCCTGACGATTGGTCTTAGGGGCTGTTTGTCAGAACAGAATCGGGCTCTGATTGGCTGTACTCCTGCGAGGTGCCCGGAGCCTCAGGTTGGTCGACCGCGCTCCCGCCGGCGACATGGTGAGCCGGCAGCCAGCCACATGGGGGGGCCTTGCCTGAAGGGCAGGAGGTTCCGCTGAGGGGGTCCAGGGAGACACCGAGGGGACTGGGATCCCTTTGTGGGGATTGAGAGCTCTGAGGGACTCTGGGTCGCGCTGAGGGCCGTGTGTCTCTCTCTGGGTTCAGTCTCCCTGTGGGACCTACGTGGGGGTTGGGGGTTCTGTCTAGGGGACTGGAGGCCCCTGAGCGTTCGGGAATTCTGGAAAATCCCTGGGGGCCCTCTAGGGGCCTGGGGTCCTGCCGAGGGGTCGCAGCCCCGCGGAGGGGACTGGGAACGTACGGATCCTCGCTGGGGAGGTTGGGGGTCCCTCTGGAGCCCACGCTGGCGACGTGGGTCCTGTGGAAGCATGGGGTCGCTGCGTGTATTGAGGTGTGTGGAAGGGCCAGGGAGAGCCCTGAGAGGAGGAGCCAGGCCAAGGGGATGTGGATAGCCTCGGGGAGGGCGAGGGTCCCAGAATTGGAGACAGCACAAGTTGGAACCTTCAGGTCTCACGCGGCTCTGGGTCCAACCTATTGAGTTTATTCTTCAGACTTAGCCTGGCCACTGCGGGGCGAGAGCGGGAAGTCCCAACCCCTAAATGTTCGGACTGGGCAGAGGGAGGGGCCCTGGAGGACGACCCGACCCTGCCTGGAGGATTCCCCAAGGACGGGCGTTGGAAGTGCACCTGAACATGAAAAGTGGACGTGGTTCCAGGCCTGGGTGCCGGAAGCAATGGGAGATGAGAGGAAGGGTTCTTGAGAACAGGATGGAGGAAAGTCTCATTGCTGTTAGCAGGTAGCAGGATTCTCCTATTCTCGGATTGTAGGTCCAGGGAAAGACTTTGAGCAGGAAAGGGACGTGGTCCGATGGGAGGCTCCAGATATCTCTGGAAATCTGCAGAGCCAGGACCTCAAGACCAGAGGCTGCTGGGGGGTGAGGCTTGAAAAACATCCCTGGACCGACCTCAAGAGCCTCAGGTGGAGGGATGCTTTTCTTTCTTCCCTCCTTCCCTTCTCCTCCCCTTCCTCTTTGCTCATTCTTCCCTCCCTCTCTCCTTCCTTCCTTCTGTCCTTCCTCTCCTAGGTGCTGGGACCGAAGTTTGAACAACAGTCCCCTCCCTGGGAGGTGTCAGAGGGTGATAGGGGTCTGCAATGGAGAGCTCAAGGATCTAGAAGGGCCTCTGAGACCCAGTAGTTTGACGCAGGGAGGGCTACCTAGAGAGTCGGGCAGTGAGGCAGGGTGTCTTGAGCTGGGCCCTCCAGGCGTTGCAGACTGCGAAAAGGAGTTGGATATTGACTGACCTCATGACTCGCTGGAAAGGGCCGAATGCTGTGTCCGTGGGAGTGACAGGCGGGTACTGGGGCCTCCTGAGATGATGGTGTGCAAAGCATAGAGGTCCAGGCTAGAGGTGCTGCTGTGCTGGGGTCATGCTGGGCCGTCGGTGTTTAAAAACCTAGCAGGAGATTGAGTCACAGGGTGGAGGCCATGGAGGGAAGAAGAAAGTCAGCAGGGGAGCCCCAGGATCTGATGTCTGGAGAGGCGCCAATGGGAGGCTCTGGGGTGTGGGAAGGGGCTGAAGAGGATCCTAGGAGGAGGCCTGGGCCCTCGGAGACCCGCCTCACTGGGCTTGGAAGGTGTTCCCTGACCAAGACCGTACCCACGGTCTTTAGTGACCAATAGCCAGTCTGCACTTGGGGGTTAGGGAGGGCGAGCAGTGAGAACAGATTAGTGAGATTTAAAGACCAGAAAGATAGTGCACCGACCTCATTACTGAGAAAATGTTTCTGGTTTACAAGTTACAGGCATAGAGAAAATATCCTGTTAGTTATCTTAATGATGGATTTCTCAGCAGTCATTCTGAATTACTGTGTTGGCCCGATACCCATCACACTAGAGCTTTTCCTATTAAAGTTAGCATATTCTTGCCTGATTAAAGGATAATTTTAATAATTAATTTTAATATTAAAGTAATCTTTATTTCACTTTAGTTGTTAATTATAACATCATAATACTAGTCGACAGCGCTCCTGAGCACATAATTTTATATAATTACATAATTACTGATACCAAATTGGTATTTACTGCATTGAAGCAGGAAAACCCAGCTTCAGACTGATTACCAAAAGCATTTCTTCTAAAACGTTTTAAAACTAATATATGAAAACGTGTTATGAATTGGTAAAAAGTTTGTTATGTAGAACTTAGTGAGAAATTCCTAATTTAAAAACTTATCCCACTCATATGTGTAAGTCTTTGTCCTGAAACTGGTAGTGGCCAGAAATAGGCTTTCCAAGGAGGTTGATTACCCAGGGAGGGAGGAGGAGAGGGCGATGGGATCATCAGGCTAATTTCCGGTGGGAAAGACGAGACTGAGCTGCCAGGGGGAACTATGATGTGTGGGTGGGACCGTGGGAGGGGAGCCTCTTTCACTGGCTGTGCTCCTTGTAGGTCCGGATGGTGGTCTTGACAGCACATGAAACAAAACAGGCAGCGCCCCATTTCCAGATGGGGAAACTGAGGCCTCAGGGAGATGAATACCTGAAATCCATAGCAAAGGCCAGAAGTGAACCCCAGCGTGTGCTCTCCGCCACCCCACACCCCAGCTGGGTGGTGGTGGTAGGGAGTGCGGGAATCCACACACAGCAGGGGCTCCCAGGGTTGAGGCTGAGCCCACCCCAGGCCCCTCCTTCAAGATGCCGCTGGAGCCCCGGAGGCCCTCCCTCCCTAACCTGGCCCCAGCCTCTCTATAAATAGCCTGAGTTCCGAGGCACGGAGCTTGTGACCTTCTGGCAGGCACTGCCCTTCATGTCCCCTCCCCGCAGGCGGTCCTGGGAGTGCAGCTGGTGGTGACCCTGCTCACCGCCACCCTCATGCACAGGCTGGCGCCACACTGCTCCTTCGCCCGCTGGTTGCTCTGCAATGGCAGGTGAGCCTCAGCCCCGCCCCGGGCGGTGGGAGGAGCCCCACCGGGCCCCGCCCCCTCTGCTTCCTCCAAACCCCGCCGCGTGCCCTCCAAAGAGTGTTTAGTTTTTTTAAAGAAAAAACAACTCTTCAGATATAACTGACATACAATAAACTGCAAATATCTGAGGCACACAGTTGGATCAGTTTTGACAGGGGTACGCACACCCATGAGACTGCCTTTCCACACTGGGAAGAGCAGCTGCTTTCCCCTACTCCTGCTTCCAGCAATCTAACCCCCCCCTTCCACACTCCTCTTGCTGTAGATCTGTTCCCTGCAGTGCTTTTTGTCCCTGTTCGGATCTCGGACCCTTTCTGAGACCTGGTGGAAACTGTGAACTTTCCCTTCAGAACAATGCACACGCCTGCTCCGCCAGAAGAGATAGCCAACAGATTCAGGGGTGTCCGGGACTCCGGGCCACCCTGCCCTCTGCCCGTAGCTTCTCAGTGCACTCCCCCCCAGCAAACCCCCAGCCCACCCCCCAGGCCTTCCCCTGGCCTTGCATGGCCCCTGCCCATCCTGTCCCCATGCATTTCGGGTCCAGCTCTCCCCCTGACTCCAGTCCTGGGTTTGAGGATTCACTGCCTTGAGCCCTCCACGCCGCGGGAGCTTTCCTGACTTCCCGTCTTTGCCCTCAGTCTCTTCCGATACAAGCACCCTACTGAGGAAGAGCTTCGGGCTCTGGAGGGAAAGCCGAGGCCCAGAGGCCGGAAGGAGCGGTGAGTGAGCCCCCAGCCTTAGGGGAGCCGCTCCCCTTCCAGGAGCATGCAGTTCTGGGCACCTAGGAGAGTGGTGGACACCCCAGGTTGAGATGTCACTGTCATTCATTGGTTGTCTTGGACTGACAGCTAAAGCTTATTGCTTATTGGAAGTTTGCTCTGAGCCATCCCTGTGAGCGGCGTCTGCAGCCTGGTGTGCGGAGACCCAGGCTGGGGAGAAGGTAACTCCCAAACCAGCTCCTCCTGTGCTCTGAGGGTGGCACGGTGGAACCTTCCAGGCTGGTGTGGGGCTGGCCGCCATGTCTGGCTGGGGAGGAGAGAACAGAGGATGCATTCCCCCTCCCCTGACCACCTCCCCCCCCCTCCCCAACAGGTGGGCCAATGGCTATAGTGAAGAAAAGCCCTTGTCTGTGCCCCGAGATGCCCCTTTCCAGCTGGAGACCTGCCCCCTCACAGCGGTTGATGCCCTCGGTAACAGCCCGGCTGAGTCCCCGACGTCCCACCCTCAGCCCACACCCGGCAGCATTGGTGAGGGGGCTGTCCTGCGCTGGGCTGCGGACTGAGCTGCGTGCTCCCCGCAGTCCTGCGCTTCTTCCTGGAGTACCAGTGGTTCGTGGACTTCGCCGTGTACTCGGGTGGCGTGTATGTCTTCACAGAGGCCTACTACTATGTGCTGGGCCCGGCCAAGGAGACCAACATCGCCGTGGTCTGGTGTCTGCTCACCGTCGCCTTCTCTGTGTATCCTTCCTCAGGCTGCCCAGCGGGTCAGGGAGTAGGGAGGCATGTGGGAGCGGGACTCGAGCTTTCCTTTATCCCCTGTCCCCAAATTGGCATATCAGCTATCGTCTGCTGTCCCACAAAACTCCCCCAAACTGGGTGGTGTAAAATGGTCACTATTTTATTCCCTCTCCTCCTGGGGTGGGCTCAGCCCAGCCGCCTTATCTCTGCTCTAAGAGGGCCCACCTTCCAGCAGGCCAAGCCAAGCTTCCTCCTGGTAGCAGAAATACCAGCAAGGAAGAAGGGGTGCTGTGGGCCTCCTAAGGCTTTGCAGGTAGTTGGTCCACCCCCATCCCTGTCCATTCTCTTGGTCAAAGCAAGTCACCAGCCCAGATGCAGGGGCAGGAAAAGAGATGCCCCCTCTGCTATGTTTTTTTGTTTGTTTTTTTTTAAATCATTTTTAATTTTTTAAAAGAGATTTTATTTGTTTGTTTATTTATTTGACACAGAGAGAGAGAACAAGCAGGGAGAGTGGCAGGCAGAGGGAGAGGGAAAAGCAGGCTTCCCGCGGAGCTGGGAGCCCGATGTGGGGCTCGATCCCAGGACCCCGGGATCATGACCTGAGCCCAAGGCAGATGCTTAACCGACTGAGCCACCTAGGTGCCCCTCTGCTATGTTTTTTTATGAAGCTGCCCAGGGAGCAGAGGCAAACCTCTGACATTGAGAACCCAAGTCTGAGAAAATGCCCTTGTGGGATGGGCTTGTGAAGAAAAGTCCATCTAGAAGCCCACACTGGTCTGGAAAGCGCCGTGGGTCTCTTTGAGGACAGATTCGAGATACAGCCCTCGTATCTCTGATAGCTTCTTAGAGGAGCCAGAAATTCACCTGCTGTGAATGCAGCCAGGCTAGGTGGGTCAGGGAGGCCAGACCTCCTGAAGAGACAGACGTGCTGGCTCTTTTGGGGAGAAATGGCCACAGGTAGGGGTGCCTGGGTGGCTCATTTGGTTGAGTGGCCAATTCTTGGTTTCAGCTGCGGTCATGGTCTCAGTGTTGTGGGATGGAACCCCCTGATTTGGGCTCTGAGCTTGGCATGGAGTCTGCCTGAGATTCTTTCCCCCTTCCCCTCCCTCCTCCTCTGCTCCTCCCCCCACTTGCTGTCTCTAAAATAAATAAATGGAAGGAAGGAAGGAAGGAAGAATTAAAGAAAAGAAAGAAAGAAAGGGCCACAGGTAGCGTGCTGAGGCCGAGCCGGAGGCCCAGGTCCTCCTGCCACCCACACCCCGCAAACCTGCTGACAGAGGCGTGAGCAGTGCTGGACCTTGTGTCCTGGGCTTGTTCGGCGGCTCACTCTTCTCCGTGGTCACCGCCCTGCTCCCCGAGACTCCAAACCCCAACACCGGTGTTTGGGTTCTGGAGCTGGGGGAGTCCCTGGCTGGGAGTGGGGCACTGCAGCTGCTCAGGGCTTCCTTAGCCCTGTGCCCAGCAAGATGTTCCTGGTGGTGACCCGGTTGTACTTCAGTGCAGAGGAGGGGGGCGAACGCTCTGTCTGCCTCACCTTTGCCTTCCTCTTCCTGCTCCTGGCCATGCTGGTGCAGGTGGTCCAGGAGGAGACTCTCGAGCTGGGCCTGGAGCCAGGTATGTGCGGCGTTTGGGGCACGGGGTCACCACGCGGATCACTCCCTCATGGAAGTGGGGTTGAGTGGCTCGTTCCACCAGCACATAATGGGTGAAGGGGGAGGTACTCCTTGGGCCTGAGCAGTCTCTGTGGCTGCTTGCTGCCCTGCGCATCTCCTGGGGCTTTGGGGCAAGAGGATATCTGGTCTCGCTGCCTCTGAGAGCTGCCTGCAGCTGCAGTTCTTCGCAGGGCACTTCTGTGCCCCCCATCTGCCCTGTCCCCGGCAGCCATAATGATTTAATATTTACCCATTCTAATTTAACTTGGTGAAGGAAATGGGTAAATGGCACAACATTCATAAAGTACAAGAGACTACATAGAGTAAAAATCACCCACCCTGATTAGCTCTCCTTCCAAGAGGAAAACTGGGAGACCACTTTCCTTTTTCCCCATAAAACGGTAGTGTTTATGGCTCTCCACCTTGTCTTTTTCCCTTAAAAACATTAATTTGGGGGTTGTCCCTTGATGCTACATACAGTGCGGGTTGGTTTATTTGTTTGTAATACCCACATAGTATTTCATTTTATGGAAGTTCCATGATTATTTAACCAGTCCCCTACTTCTGGACATCTAAGTCTTTCACTATTAAATGTTGTTCAAAACCACGTTGTGTTACAACAGTGTCGTATGGGAATAGCCCTGCACATGCAGCCCTGTGCGAGAAAGTGCATTTGTAATTTTGATAATGTTGTAAATTGCCATTTAGGAAAAGATTAATGAAGTGCCTATTTCCCCACATTCTCTCCAGTGTGTTTCCTCAGACTTTTTTTTTTTTTCCTTGGGTAACCTGATGGGTGAAAATATAAGCGAGGTTGAGCATCTTTTCCTATGTGGACAATTCATTTCTATCTGCCTTCCAGAAAAGGTCTGTTCTTTTGCCCAGTTTTCTACTGAGTTGTTGACCCTTTTATTGATTTGTAGGAGCTCTTTATATATTAGAGACATTAGGCTTTGTGTGTGATAGTAGTTGGAAATATTTTTCTTAGTTTCCCATTTTTCTTTTGAGTTTATTTATTCTTTGGATGATCTTTAAAAATATAACTTGGATCACATCACTTCTCTGATACCAGATTCTAGTGGTCTTTGGATAAAGAGCAAATCCTTGAGCTTTATCTTCACCAATTCTCCCTGCTTTTCAATTTAAAAAAATATATATTTTATTTATTTATTTGACAGAGAGAGACACAGCGAGAGAGGGAACACAAGCAGGGGTAGTGGGAGAGGGAGAAGCAGGCTTCCCGCTGAGCAGGGAGCCCGATGCGGGGCTCGATCCCAGGACCCTGGGATCATGACCTGAGCTGAAGGTAGACGCTTAACGACTGAGCCACCCACGCGCCCCCTGCTTTTCAATTTTTAGGATTATATAATGTTTGATATATATTATATATATGCATATGTATAGAACATGTGTATGTAAATTACAAAGCAAAATAATAATGTAACAAACTTCTTAAATGAGAACTGGAACATTCCCAATGTTCGTGCATGTCTCTGGTGCTCGTTTCCAATCCCACCACCTTCCACTCCTACTCACAGCCCCAACCAGTCTCTCAAATCTTGTGTTTATCATTCTTTTGCTTTTTTTTTTTTAAGTAGACCCCACGCCCAGTGTGGAGCCCAGCGTAAGGCTTAAACTTCACAACCCTGAGATCAAGACCCAAGCTGAGACCAAAAGTCAGATTCTTTTTTTTAATTTAATTAATTAATTAATTAATTAATTAAATTTTTAAAGATTCCACCCATTTATTTGACAGAGAGAGAGAGCGAGAGCAGGAACACAAGCAGGGGGAGTGGGAGAGGGAGAGGGAGAAGCAGGCTTCCCGCCGTGCAGGGAGCCAGACGCGGGGCTCGATCCCAGGATCCTGGGATCATGACCTGAGCCGAAGGCAGACGCCCAACGACTGAGCCACCCAAGCGCCCCCAAGAGTCGGATTCTTAAGCGACTGAGCCACTCGGGCGCCCCATTCCTGTGCCTTTGTAAAAAGTAGTTTCATCACATATGTTTCTGTCCCTAAAGAATTCATCATACAGTTTGCTCACTGTTGCAGATGGTGGCAGCCAGTGTGTAATCAGCCAACTGGTGCTTTTCGGTCTTTTTGGTATTGTTTACAGAACGAGGCCGTGTTGGTCTGGGCAGCTTTTGTTCATCTCTTCTCACAGATGAATGACGTTCTCTGGTGAGGCCACTTGTCTATTCTGTTGCTGGACATCTAGGTGGTTTCCAGATTTGAGCTTTTCTCGCAGTTGCTATAGGGAACATTCTTGTACATGTTTCCTCATACGCACGTGTAGGCATTTCTTTTGCGCACAGGATCTGGGGACAAGGTGGACGTGTTCACCTTCATAAGATGGTGCCTCAGCATTTTTCAGAGCAGTTCTCTTGGCTCTGGTGCCATCTGGGTGCCACACCCACCAGCCATGCAGCCTGCGGTTCCGAGTGTGGACCCTGGACTCAGGCCGCCCACCGAGTCCCAGCCACCCTGGGCAAGCGTGGGTGACCTTGCAACAGCCCCCTGCCTCACCTCCCTGCTTGTAAGGTGGGGTGGTGAACCTTACAGGGGCACAGCCAGGTGTAGGTAAGTTGAGGTCTACAGAAAGTGCTTGACTTTTGCCCGCCCGGCAGTGGAAAACGATACCTTTAGTGGTCTTAACGTGCATTGCTCTGATTACCTGGGAGGCTGAGCAGCTTTTCCTGTTTATTCATGATTCTCATTTCCTCTTCTTCGAAGAGTTTGTTCATGTTGTTGCTCATTTTTCTTTGAGGCTGTATGTGTTTTTTTCCTCCATTTTTTTTTTATTGTGGTAAAATACACATAACATTTACCATTTTATTGTTTTTAAGTGTTCAGTGGCATTAAGCACATTCACCTTGTGCGACCATCACCACCATCCATTCCCCCCTTTTCACCTTGCAAATCTGAAACTCTGTCCCCATTAAACACTGACTCTCCATTTACCCCCACCCCCCAGCCCCTGGCGCCCACCATCCTACTTTTTGTCTCTATGAATCTGACCACCCGAGACGCTGTATATGAGGGCAGTCATGCAGGATCTGTCTTCCAGTGCTGGCTTATTTCATTCAGCGTAACATCCTTAAGGTTCATCCATGTTGTAGCCTATGTTCAAATTTCCTTCCTTTTTAAGGCTGAATAATATTCCCTTTGCATGAATATATCCCATTTTGTTCATCCATTCATGTACTGATGGACATTTATGTTGCTCCTTTGTTTCAGCTACTGTGGACGGTGTTGCTATGAACATGGGTGTACAAGTCCGTGCTTTTAATTCTTTGGGTGGAATTGCTGGATTATGTAGTAATTCTATGTTTAATTTTTTGAGGAGTCACCAAACTGTTTTCTTGGGTGGCTGCACCATTTTACATTCTTACCACAAGGGTTCCAGCTTCCCCACATCCTCGCCAACATGTGTTATCTTCCTTTTCTTTTTCCTCAAGAGTGACCATCCTAGTGGGTGTGAGGTGGTATCTCATTGTGGTTTTTATTTGTGTTTCCCCGATGATGAGTGATGTTGAGCACATCTTTTTTTTTTTTTAAAGATTTTATTTATTTGACAGAGAGAGATAGTGAGAGCAGGAACACAAGCAGGGGGAGTGGGAGAGGGAGAAGCAGGCCTCCTACCAAGCAGGGAGCCTGATGCGGGGCTCAATCCCAGGACCCTGGGATCATGACCTGAACCGAAGGCAGGCGCCTAACGACTGAGCCACCCAGGTGCCCGAGCACATCTTCATATGCTTGTTGGTCATCTGTATATCTTCTTTGGAGAAATTGTCTATTTTTTTTTTTCTTTTACAAAGATTTTATTTTTTTAAAAGATTTTATTTATTTATTTGACAGAGAGAGACACAGCGAGAGAGGGAACACAAGCCGGGGGAGTGGGAGAGGGAGAAGCAGGCTTCCCGCGGAGCAGGGAGCCCGATGCGGGGCTCGATCCCAGGACCCTGGGGTCATGACCTGAGCCGAAGGCAGATGCCTAACAACTAAGCCACCCAGGTACCCCCAAAGATTTTATTTTTAAGTAATCTCTACACCCAATGCAGGGCTCAAACTTATGACCCCGAGATCAAGAGTCACATGTCCCACCAACCAAGCCAGCCAGGTGCTTCCTTTGCCTATTTTTGAACCTGGTTTTTTTTTTTTTTTTGGTGATGAGTTTTAGGAGTTCTGTGTATATATTCGGGATATTCATCCCTTATCAGATATATGATTTGCAAATTTTTTTCCCATTCTGTGGGTTACCTTTTTACTCCATTAGTATTATCTTTTGATGTACAAATTTTTTAAAATTTCCATGAGTCCAATTTGTCTATATTTTCTTTTGTGGCTCATATGTCCAGTGCTAGATCTGACATCATCACCAAATCCAACGTTATGTAGCTTTTCTGGGCTGTATATCTTTACCATTTTTTTTTCTTGTTGATTTGTAGGGTTTCTTTATATATTGTGGGAACTGATCCTTTGTTACATGTGTGGCACCTACTTCCTCCTATCAAATCTGACACACCATTATTTCCTGAACCACAGAAAAGAGATTAAAAGCACTGTTACTTAAACTATTGCATGCCATCAATGGTCATGTGTATCTCAATTTTAAAGAAGTTAAAATGGGGGGCAGTGTATCTTCAAATTTGTGGCAGGGCTTTTCACTTTCTTTGTGGTTTTTTTTTTTGCCTCTTAAAAAAATTGTGGGGAGGGCGCCTGGGTGGCTCAGTTGGTTAGGCGACTGCCTTCGGCTCGGGTCATGATCCTGGAGTCCTGGGATCGAGTCCCACATCGGGCTCCCTGCTCAGTGGGGAGTCTGCTTCTCCCTCTGACCCTCCCCCCTTCTTGTGCTCTCTCTCTCTCAAATAAATAAATAAAATCTTTTAAAAAAAATTATGGGGCATCTGTCTGGCTCAGTCGGTGGAGCATGTGACTCTCGATCTCGGGGCTGTGAGTTCGAGCCCCATGTTGGGTGTAGAGATTGCTTAAAAATAAAATCTTTTTTTTTTTAAGGCTTTATTTATTTATTTGACAGAGAGAGACACAGCAAGAGAGGGAACACAAGCAGGGGGAGCGGGAGAGGGAGAAGCAGGCTTCCCGCTGAGCAGGGAGCCCGATGTGGGGCTCGATCCCAGGACCCTGGGATCATGACCTGAGCCAAAGGCAGACGCTTAACAACTGAGCCAACCGAGGCGCCCCTTAAAAATAAAATCTTAAAAAAAATTGTCCTCAAATGTTTTATTTTGAAAAATTCCAAACCTGCAGAATGGTTGGAAGAATCCTCTAATGAACTCCCATATGCCCTTGACCTAGATTCATTTAGCCATGTTTGCATTATTCTCTGCACATGCACACACCACACTTTTTTGGGCTCAGCCACTGAATACAGTTGCAGCCCTCCCCTCTGGTTTCTTTTGATGAATAGCAGTTCCTTATTTTAGTTGATTTTTGTGTTGAAGATATTCCCCACAATCAGAAAGCCATTTTATATTTTCCAACACAATATTTCAATTTTGCCTTTCACATAAGCCCTTAAGCTCCTGGTCGTTCACTACTGTCTTATGAGGTAGGGATCAAACTGAGTGTTTTCCATGGGATAACCTTGTTGTACAATTGTATTTTTAGTGAATTGTGGGTTCTTTTGGTTTTTGTTTCATCTTTTCCAATCTTTTTTGTGTGGCTAGGACCTCTGGCTTTTATAGCACTATTCTGGTAGGCTTCTTTTTCTTGTTTCCAATTTCTTTTTTTTTTTTTTTTTAAAGATTTTATTTATTTGACAGAGAGAGAGAGAGACAGCAAGAGAGGGAACACAAGCAGGGGAAGTGGGAGAGGGAGAAGCAGGCTTCCCATGGAGCAGGGAGCCCGATGCGGGGCTCGATCCCAGGACCCTGGGATCATGACCTGAGCCAAAGGCAGACGCTCAATGACTGAGCCACCCAGGCACCCCACTTTTTTTTTTTTAAGATTATTTATTTATTTATTTATTTGAGAGACAGAGAATGAGAGACAGAGAGCATGAGAGGAGGAGGGTCAGAGGGAGAAGCAGACTCCCTGCCAAACAGGGAGCCCGATGCAGGGACTCGATCCAGGGACTCCAGGATCATGACCTGAGCCGAAGGCAGTCACTTAACCAACTGAGCCACCCAGGCGCCCCCCCACTTTTTTTTTTTTAAAGATTTTATTTATTTATTTGACAGAGAGAGACACAGTGAGAGAGGGAACACAAGCAGGGGGAGTGGGAGAGGGAGAAGCAGGCTTCCCGCTGAGCAGGGAGCCTGATGCGGGGCTCGATCCCAGGACCCTGGGATCACGACCTGAGCCGAAGGCAGACACTTAATGACTGAGCCACCCAGGCACCCCTTGTTTTCAATTTCTTAGTTGGCTATTTAGCTCACTAATTTTCAGCTTCTATTTCTCTTTCTAGCATTTCTAGCATGAAGGCTATATACTAAGTCCCACTTTTGTCCACTTCTTATGTTTTGACTTGTAATTTTCATTATCAGGCAGTTCTGGGTATTTTTAAGTTTCCATTGTGATTTCTTTCTTTTTCTTTCTTTTTTTTTTTTTTTAGAGAGGGGAAGGGGCAAAAAGAGAGGGAGTGAGAGAATCCCAAGCAAGCTCCATGCCCAGTGCTGAGCCCGGTGCGGGGCTCGATCTCACAACCTTGAGATCATGACCTGAACCGAAATCAAGAGTTGGATGCTTAACTGACTGAGCCACCCAGGCGCCTTAGTCAGTGTTTTCTTTGTATGTTTTGTGGCTAATTGACAAGGTGATTACAAGTATAGAATTTCTATATATACTTGGTGAATCAACCATTTTATCATGGTATATTGACCACTTCTGATTCTAATAATACTTCTGTCTTACTCTAGTTTATCTGGTCGTAATATAGACTTTTCAGCTTTTTTTTTTTTTAAGTTGAGATATAATTGACATATAACATTTTTAGTTTTAGGTATACAATATAATGATTCAATATTTGTATGTATTACAAAACAATCACCACAATAAATCTGCTTAACATCCACCACCATACATATACAACTTTTTTTCTTCTGATGAAAACTTTTAAGATCTACTTTTAGCAACTCTCAAATATACAATACCACCTTTCTTTTGATTAGTATCTGTCATATCTTTTTAACATCCCTTTTCTCTCAACCATACAGGAACCTTGTGTTGAGGTATGTCTCCTTTAAAAAACATACAGCTGGGGCGCCTGGGTGGCTCAGTCATTGAGCATCTGCCTTCGGCTCGGGGTCCTGGGATCGAGCCCCGCACTGGGCTCCCTGCTCTGCGGGAAGCCTGCTTCTCCCTCTCCCGCTCCCCCTGCTTGTGTTCCCTCTCTCGCTGTGTTTCTCTCTGTCAAATAAACAAATAAAATCTTTAAAAAAACAACCACCACACAGCTAGATATTTTCAAGTCTGACAGTCTCTGTCATTTAACTTCAAAGTTTAACCCACTTACATTTATTATCACCGACATATTTGGCATTGTTTCTACCATCTTACCTTTTCACCTTCTTTTTGTTCTTTTTCTGTGATTACTGTTGACATTGGCTGCCAGTCTAATTGTCTTTCCTCTATAGATGATCTATCTTAAATCCCTGGCTGCTTTACGATCTCTTTGTTTTTGGTGTTCCAGTTTCGCTACAGTGTCTAGGTATGGATTTCTTTGTATTATTCTGGTTTGATATACTTTGTGTGTGTCATTCATTCCACAGTCTTTTCAACTATTCTATTCCAAATCTCCTCTCCTCCTTCATTCTCTCTTCCCTTCTCTCTCTGGGGCTCTTATTTGACTTATGCTGGACTTTCTATTCTGTCCTCCTTATCTCTTAATCTCCCTTCATATTTCCTACATTTTATCTTTCTGAGTTGGAATCTGAGTGATTTCTTCAGATCCAATTCATTCATTCCTCCTTTGCTGTTTTGAATATGCCATTTAACAACCTATCATTTCAATAATTGTATTTTCCCTTTGGAAGAGCTTCATTGGTTCCTTTGCAAATATATCTGGTCATCTGAGGTAGCCTCATGTTGCCTGTTCTGTGATCCACCTTTTATTTTCCTCAATAATTTCACACATGATAACACCTGCAAAATTTCTGTAGTCAGTAGGGTCTAAACTTGTCTTTTTTTTTCCCCCCTGCTTTATGGTGATTTGTTCCCTGGTGTGTTTGGTGATTTGGGTTGTGAGCTCATTTTTATTTGCTTTTACTCTATGGAAAATCCGAGGGCCTGAACTGAGGATTCTTTCCAGGACTTTGGCTTTAACCTATGGGAGTCCTTCATGCCCCTCTGGAATCCTGGTATAATCCAGGAAGCTCAGACGCAGTGGTCCACCGCCCCCCGCCCCTTTCTCCCAGTCCAATCAAGGGTGTCTGCCTGGTACATTTTCCTATTCTTTAAAACAAAAAACAAAAAAAACGTAACCAAAACAAAAAAACACGTAATCAGAGCACAACAAAAGTTTTCCTTTTGCCTGGCCCTGGGCCCGGCTCCCACTGGTGTATTCCTACCTGGGGAGCAAAAGTCTATCTGGTAGGGGGGCAGAGCAGACGCTGAGGCTCCAGGGGTCTCTTAAACACTGCGCTCTCCTTGTCTTCCCCAGGCCTGGCCAGTCTGACCCAGAACTTGCAGCCACTTCTGAAGACACAGGGCTGGGACTGGGCGTGAGTCCTGGGAAGTGAGGTGGGGCAAGGGCAGTCTGGGACTTGTAGGGGGCTCGCTGACGGGCTTTGGGGCCTCCTGGCCCTTCTCTTCTCCCCCAGGCTCCCTCTGGTCAAGCTGGCCATCCGCATAGGGTTGGCATTTGTGGGATCCATGCTGGGTGCCTTCCTCACCTTTCCAGGCCTGCGGCTGGCTCAGACACACCTGGACGCACTGAGCATGTCGGAAGACCGGCCCATGCTGCAGTTATGCAGACTGCCAGATGGGTGGTGGTGCGGGGGGTGGGACTCTAAAGGAGAGGCTAGGGGGATGGTGGGTGCCCGGGGCCTCACTCTTCTGTGCCCTTGTTCCTAGGTTCCTTCTGCATACCAGCTTCCTCTCCCCTCTGATCATCCTGTGGCTCTGGACCAAACCCATTGCACGGGACTTCCTGCACCAGGCACCCCTGGGGGAGGTGCCCTTCTCCCTGTGCGCATGGGGGGTGGGTGGGAGGGAGAGCAGTGGGGGCCCTTCTGTGTACCCCAGTCTCTGAGGCTCAGGGAGGAGCCTTGGATCCTGGGGGAGATCCTGCAGCAGGGGCGGCCTCCCTAGCCCCCTCACTCCCCTCCCCAACAGGCTGTCTGACTCAGCCTTCGACTCATTGCGCCTCTGGCTGCTGGTGGCCTTGTGCCTGCTGAGGCTGGCGGTGACCAGGCCCCACCTGCAGGCCTACCTGTGCCTGGCCAAGGCCCGTGTGGAGCAGCTGCGGCGGGAGGCCGGCCGCATAGAGGCCCGTGAGATCCAGAGGCGGGTATGGGCACCGAAGGGTGGGAGGGAACATGGGGCGGAGCCCCCCCCCCCCCACGTAGTCACGGCTACCGGCCTACCAGGTGGTGCGAGTCTACTGCTACGTGACAGTGGTGAGCCTCCAGTACCTGACGCCGCTCATCCTCACCCTCAGCTGCACGCTGCTGCTCAAGACGCTGGGTGAGGAGCGGCACGGGGCGGGGGCCTGGTGCGGGGAGGTCGGGGCGGCGGGGAGCGACGTCGGGTGGGGATGGAGGCGAGCGAGGTGGCGCCAGGGCGGGACTTGGTAATACTGGGGGGGGGGGGGGAGCCTGGAGGGCCCGGAGGAAGGGAGAGTAGGAGGCGGGGCCCGAAGTTGGGGTGGGGGCAGGAGATAGAGTTTGGGGTGGTGGCGGGGGTAGGAGGTGGAGCCTAGGGCTAGGCGGGGGTCCCAGAGGTCAAACCCCGCCTGCACCTCTACCCATCCCTCCCTCCACCCTCCGCTTCCCACAGGCGGCTACTCCTGGGGCCCGGGCCCGGTCCCCATGCTGTCCCCCGCCCGGTCCTCAGCCCAGGATCGCCTGGGGGGCCCCGGGGAGGATGAGGCCCAGCAGACGGCGGCCCGGATCGCTGGGGCGCTGGGCAGCCTGCTCACGCCCCTCTTCCTCCGCGCGGTCCTCACCTTCCTCATCTGGTGGACCGCAGCCTGCCAACTGCTCTCCAGCCTCTTCGGCCTCTACTTCCACCGGCAGCTGGCGGGCTCCTAGCCGCCTGCAGACGTCCCTGGGCCCCAAGGTCCCGGCCTGAGCTAGCGGCTTAAGGACCGCCTCCTCCGTGTGTGCCTGTGTCCTCAGGTGCAAGGTGGGCCCGGGAGCCCCCGCAGCACCTGCTGGGCCCGCCCACTTCACCGCAGTGCCTGAGCCCTGGCCCCTCGGATCCCACGCTTCTGCCTCCAAACTGTTGCCCCGGACCCAGAGCCACTGTTCTCGGATTGCATGCCCTGCCTCCCCCGCATTTGAGACAGAGGTCGCGGGTCATTCTTCTGAACAAATAAAAGAACAGGCTGATTTCTACTATCAGGATTGGAGTGGTTCGGGAGGTGGCTTTCTGCATGTTGGCGTTTGGTGCTGAGTGAAGGGAATGACCCAGAAGAGCACAGGGCGATCCAGACAGTAAGCAAAGGCCTGGGAGCAAGAAGTGAAGGGGGGGCAGGAGGAAGAGGGGTTCCGGGCTGAGAGGGTGGTAAGGAGAAGAGGGTGGGGAAGAGCGCAGGGAGGCGCCTCAAGGATGAGAAGGGAGGGAGATGGAAATGACAGATAAGTTGTAGAAATCTTGCAGGAGGGGGTGCCTGGGTGGCTCAGCCGTAGGGGGTCTGCCTTTGGCTCAGGTCATGATCCCAACCCTGCTCCGCGGGAAGCCTGCTTCTCCCTCTCCCACTCCCCCTGCTTGTGTCCCTTCTCTAGCTTGGTCTCTCTCTGTCAAAGGAATAAAATCTTAAAAAAAAAGAAATCTTGCAGGACAAACAAAATGATAAAAGATGGAAAACAAAGGGGTGGGGGTGGGTGCCAAGGAAATCAGAGAACTGGCCCAGAAGAATCTTCCAAAGAAAGAGAGTTCTGGGAAGAGGCACTGGAGCAGAGAGGGACCCCAAGCTTCCAGGCGCTGCAGGACAAGAGCCCCATCCCAAGGCATGTGTCTGGGAAGTTCCACAATGAAGACCAGCTCCCCGCCAGGACAGAACGGGTCACACCTGGAATCAGGAGATGACGGAGCGTTGTCTCCCAGTTCTGCCCATTCCACACTGTGGCCGGTACCCCAGGGATCCCTGAAACCGGAGCCCCCCTCACCCCTGCACCGGCATCCGCCGCAGCGGTGGTGCCTCTGGTCACCTGGCCCTTTGCTTGCTCAGCCAGGGCCATGCGTGCTCTCTGCTCTCAGAGCACAACACCCTGGGGTTCAGGGACACAGAGGAAGGTGGAGACGCGCAAAGAAAAGCAAGAGTGTGAGTGGCACCGTGCCAGGCGCAGCGGAGGCGATGGGGTGCGGCGCCCCCTGGACGGCCACTGGCTCTCACTGCCGTGGCTTAAACCACAGACATCTTACATGTTCCCTTTGGGACACATTTCACAGTTAAAAAAAAAAAAAATGAGAGAAACAAGGTGGAACCACAATCAGAGAAAATCGGGAAGATAGAAGGGGCTGGTCAGGGTGCTGTGTTTTCAGGGGCAGTATTACATTTCCGTTAAGTGGCATCAGTGATCATCACCACCCATGGGCGCTTCCGCACAGGAGGGGATGATTCTGCCCCAAAGGAACACTAGTCAGTGTCTGGAGACATTTTTCTGGAGATAGTTTTGGTTGTCACGACTGAGGGGGACAGGGACGCTACTGCATCTGGGGGGGGGGTGGAGGCCAAGAATGCTGCTGGGCACCCTGAGGTGCCCAGATGTCAGCGGTCCCCAGGCCCAGAAGCCCTGTGTTACAAGAAACAGAGGTATCAGGGCGCCTGGGGGGGCTCAGGTTGTGATCCCGGGCTCCTGGGATGGAGCCATGCGTCGCACTCCCTGCTCAGTGGGGAGTCTGCTTGTCCCTCTGCTGGTCTCCCTGTTTGTGCTCTCTCTCTAATAAATAAATAAAATCTTGAGAGAGAGAGGAAAGAAAGAAAGAAAGAAAGAAAGAAAGAAAGAAAGAAAGAAAGAAAGAAAGAAAGAAAGAAAGAAAGAAAGAAAGAAAGAAAGAAAGAAGAAAGAAAGAAAGAAAGAAAGAAGAAAGAAAGAAAGAAAGAAGAAAGAAAGAGAAAAAGAAAAGAAAGAAAGAAGGAAGGAAGGAGAGAGAAAGAAAGAAAGAAAAAGAGAAAAAGAAAGAAAAAAAATCCAATGACAAGTCAAACTTTCAACTCCAGAGAAGTGAGCAAAGGAAAAAACCAGTGGAAAAAAAGACACAAACCATAAGCGGGACCCAAGATGCACCCACACACCTCGCGCCTCAGATCCACTCTCGTCCAGGTCCCTGGGACCTCCACCTGGTCAAGCCCTCGGGCATCCTGACCTTGCTGTCTCTTCCCCTGTGGCCGCCTGGTCACCACCCAGCCCCTGGCCGCCCTGCTGCTTCCCTGTCAGAATCGTGAAGATCTACAAGGCTGGTGACCGGCTGTTGGTGAGGGGAATTACGTTCCCATGCTGAATTATGTTCTCCCCAAATTCTATGTTGAGGTCCTAACCCCTGGGATCTCAGGATGGAACTATATGTGGATACTGAGTCTTTAAAGAGGTGATTAGGTTAAAATGAAGTCATTAAGATGGGCCCTGATCCAGCAGGACTTACAGGAAGAAATTTTTTTTTTCTTTTTTTCTTCATTATAAGAAAATTGGACACAGACATGCCCAGAGGGAAGACAATGTGAAGACAGCCGTCTGACCAGCTGCAAGCCGAGAGGCCTGAACAGACCCTTCCCTCATGGCCTCGGAAGGAATCAAACCTGCTGACACCTTGGTTTTGCACTTCTGGTCTCCAGAACTATAAACGGAATAAACTGGTTTTCAGCCCCCAGGACGGTGCTCTGTTATGGCGGCCGCAGGAAACTCAAGACAGCGAGGGTATGCGCTATAAATGCTCCCGTCGGGGCGCCTGGGTGGCTCAGTTGGTGAAGTGGCCAACTCTTGGTTTCGGCTCAGGTCATGGTCTCAGGGTCCTGAGATCTGGCTCGGCTCAGCGGGGAGTCCGCTCAAGGATTTTCTCTCTCCCTCAGCCCCTTGCCCTGCTCATGCATGTGCACGCTCTCTCTCTCTCAAATAAATGAATAAATCTTTTTTAAAAAATGCTACCATCTCCTTACAGGAATATCTGGCATTTGTATTCTACTCTGGATAGATTCCCCCCCCCCCCAAAGATGACCCTGTCATGAGGACTCAGGGCCCATGGTTTACCTGGGAGCTCACCCCAGGGAGACTCTTTGGGGGCAGAGACATGAAATAGGGAGGAGCCCTGTGGGGGTGCCAATGAACAGGTGACTAAGCGGAAAACCTGGGCTTGGTCCTGTTGGGGGCCTCGGGGGACAGTGTGGATCTCACTTGAGTGACCCACTCCAGTGGTGAGGGGCTGTCCACAGCCATTGGCCGAGGGCCGCTCCTGGGGTGTCGGGTCACGCTCCTCGGGGGAGGCCCCCAGACCGGGTTGAGCGGCTTACAGCCAAAAGCAGCTGGGCTTAGGGAGGGGCACTGGCTGCGCAGCGAACACAGTCCCTGATCTTTACTTAGCAGTTTGTTCCTGGAACACCACACACTCGTGCATGAATGCAAAGAGGCACATACAAGATCTGTTTCAGAAAGTGCCAGGAAGCTCAACCCTAATTGTCTTCAATAAACAGAATAAAGCCACTCCTATTGCCGGAAGTTGAGAGGCAGCTGAAAGCTTCAGGCAAAGCTGGATCCAGCAGCCCAGACAATGTCACCAATAATCCAACTCCTTTCTTCATCTCTGCTCCATTTTCTGTGGTGTCAGCTTCACCCTGGGATCGCTTCCTATCTTGTGAACACAGGATAGTCCCAACAATTGCCTGTGCTGGTGTTTCTTCCCTTAGGGCCAGTGGGAGAGATGGAGGGTGCTTCCAGAAGCTCTCCCTGGAAGTGCTTAGCAAACATCTCTGCTGTCTTGGGCCCAAATGGAGTCACGTGCCCACCTCTATATTTTACGGGATGCCATGGTGATTGGGGGGAAATGGGGAGTTGATCCCCACCCTCCCAGGCTCAGGGGCTGGGACTGCCCAGAAATCGGTAGGACGGGAGAGCAAGCTGGGCAGGCCCCGGGAGCCGCTACCACGTTGTCATGGCAACAGATCACTGATAATCCCGATGGCCATCAATAAAGGATGGGTAGATGTCATCACAGGCCACCACCCCGGGGAAACACCCAACTGTTCCTAAACAATGAGACAAACCATACACACAAGGAGCCAAGGTGTACGAATCCGGTGGGATGAAAGCAGCAGGCAAGCGGCTCCGCCCCGCGGGGCAGAACGTACTGAAGCACCGCCCCCTGCAGACAGCGCCCGCCCACGAGGCGCACGCGCTCACCCAGTCGCCCCTCCCCTGGCATGTGGAGGCTCCCACTTCCCGCCTCTGGTTGGGGCGGCCCTACAAGTTGGTCCAGGAGATGGGCTGTGGCGGAAGCAAGTCTGCATGGCCACCGTGAGACCTCTGGTGGCCTCGATCTCGGGCCCCCGCAGACAGCCACACTCGCTCCTAACGCCTCAACCGGCCGAAGTGGGGAGGCCCTGGCACTCGACAGGCGGGCAGGGCACGGGAGACAAACAACAGGACTTGGCGGCCCTGCTCGCTGCGGCAGGATGCAACCCATTCCGACTGGTGACGTGGCTCGCCCCGTATGTCCTCAGAAGGGACAAGTGTTTATGCACAGGATGTCTCCAGAAGGACACGTGAGAAACTGGTAAAAGAAGACACCTTGGCGGAGGGAACTGGCAGGCCGACCTTCTCACCACAACCCTTTTGTGCAGCTGGAGTTTTCTAGAAGACCTGTATGTAGTAATAATTCAAACAAGAAACACATTAAAAAGGCTTATTCAAGGGGGGTGCCTGGCTGGCTCAGTGCATAGAGTACGCGGCTCTTTTTTCTTATTCTCAGAGAGGGAGAGGTAGGGGTGGGGCAGAGAGAGCCTCCCAAGCAGGCTGCAGGCCCAGCACAGAGCCTGAGACAGGGCTCAATCCCACAACCTTGAGATCACCACCTGAGCCGGAACCAAGAGTCGAAACCAAGAGCCGGACGCTTAACCGACTGAGTCATCCAGGTACTCTGAGCAAGCGACTCTTGACCTCAGGGTCTTGAGCTCAACCCCACATTGGGCGTGGGGCCTACTTAAAAAAAAAAAAAGTATATTCAAGAATATATTAAAAAATCTGTCAAAATAACCTCAACCCTAACCCTGTTTTTGGTTCACAGGGGGTGGAGGTTGGGGGTTAGAGCCGAAGAAGGACAGAAAAAAACGTCATTTTAATTTTTATTAAATATACTCTCTTGGCACAAATCTTTAAAATATATAAACATTATATATAAACAA